GTCCAGAGGCCTGTGTCCTTGTCCTGACTGCCCTGCTTCATGGGTGACTCTAGACAAGTGCCTCTCTTCTCTGGGCCTCAGTTTCCCCACTGGTACCAATGAGGATGTTGATTCCGTCTCTCTGAGCCCTTCTGGCTCTTGCATCGTTGTCACTGAGGGCTCAGGCTGGGATCCTGGAGGCTGGGGAGGTGCCCATGGCAGGTGGGGTGGGAGGGGACTGGTCTTCAGGTAACCTTCTGTGACCCCACAGGTAACCTTCTGTGACCCTGTCATTGAGAGGAGGCCCCGGCTGCAGAGGCAGAAACGCATTTTCTCTAAGCGCAGGGGTACGGACAGGAGAGGGCTGTGTACGTGGGGAAGAGGGCAGGGGGGTCAGGGGGCCCCGGGACTGAACCTCCCTTTGGCCGCAGGTCAGGACTTCCTGAGGGCTTCCCAGATGAACCTCAGCATGGCGGCCTGGGGGCGCTTGGTCATGAACCTGCTGCCCCCCTGCAGCTCCCCAAGCACGATCAGCCCGCCCAAAGGGTGCCCCCGGACCCCTGCCACTCCTCGGGGGGCCACCAGCCCTGCCTCGCCCAGGTGAGAAGCCACCTCACCCCCCAGACTCCCAGCTTCTCTGCAGCGCCCGCCTCTCCAGGTGCTGTCAGTGTCTGTCTTTCTGTCCATTTCCCTCTCTCTCTCTCTCTCTCTCTCTCTCTCTCTCTCTCTCTCTCCATGGCTGTGTGTCCATCCCCCAGCTGTTCTGTCTGCCTGTGCCCCACCATGTGTCTGCTCCCTCCCCACAGTAGTTTCCCACCCAAGAAGACCCCCTTGGGAGAAGAGATGAGGCCGCCACCCAAGCCCCCGCGCCTTTACCTGCCCCGGGAGCCAGCCCTCGAAGAGACGCCGGTGAGGGGGGCTGGTAGCCCTGGGGGTGCTGGGCTGGGGGTGGCGGAGCTGCAGGGAGGGAGGAAGGAAGCCCTGCTCTGCCCTGAGCCCCTCTGCCCTCCCTCACAGCGCACCAAACGCCCCCACATGGAGCCCAGGACTCGACTGGGGTCATCTCCACCCGCCTCCGCGACCAGGTACCCCGTCAGGTTCACCTTCTTGTTTGAGACATTGTCCACTCACTCGAGTGCCTGTGTGTCCACTCAGTCCTCACCCCGCGGCTCCTGGGCGCATTCACTGGCTCGCTCAGGTTCTCACTCTGAACCAACATTATTGAGCCCAGCTGTATGCCAGACTCCAGGCAACCGCTGTCCTGAGCCCCCGTCCGCCAGCCCCAGAGGTGGGGCCAGGCCAGGATTGGACATGAAGGGCTGGTGGAGGCCCAGCCTTGGCCCAGGGGGCTTCCTGTGCCCGCTCTCTTTCAGGAAACCCCCACGGCTTCAGGACTTCCGCTGCTTGGCTGTGCTGGGTCGGGGACACTTTGGGAAGGTGGGTGCAGTGCAGGGTGGGCAGCCCTCGGCGCATTAGCTCGGAGGACGCTGTGATCGTGAGGTAGTAGTTGGGGGAAGTAAAGGCTCCCGGTACTGCCCACCTGGAGCCCAGCCTTTCTCTGGTCTCCAGGTTCTCCTGGTGCAGTTCAAGGGGACGGGGAAATACTACGCTATCAAAGCGCTGAAGAAGCAGGAGGTGCTGAGCCGGGACGAGATAGAGAGGTGTGTGGTGATGCCACGGGGCACCGGGCCTGCAGCGGGCCCCGGATGGCTGGCCTGGGCTATTGGCACCAGAAGGCAGCCGAACCCTCCTGGGGCTTTGAAGTGGTGACTCTGGGGCCAGCCAGGCCTGGGTTCTTTTTTTAGCACCTGCAGTTAACGATGGGCCCTTGGGCAGGTCCCTCTGCACCTCAGTTTCCTCATCTGTAAAATGGGACAGTGGTGGTTGTGCAGGTTAAATGACCCACGTGAGTTCCTGATACAGAGAAACTGTCACTCCACGTAGCTGCCCGGCACTTTGAGGCACAGTGAGCTTGGGGTGTCCTGTGGGTGCAGGGCACAGCAGTGGAGGTTTCCTTCCCTCTGAAACCCACACCCTCCCCTCAGCCTGTTCTGCGAGAAGCGGATCCTGGAGGCCGTGGGCCGCACGGGGCACCCCTTCCTGCTGTCCCTCCTGGCCTGCTTCCAGACCTCCAGCCACGCCTGCTTCGTGACCGAGTTTGCGCCGGGTGGCGACCTCATGATGCAGATCCACGAGGACGTTTTCCCTGAGCCCCAGGCGCGGTGGGTTTCCGTTCCTCTCGTCTGCCTCTTCCAACAAGCCGGCCCTGGTTCCCTACACTGGGCCTCCCTCACCCTGCTTCCTCCGGGCACCCATCAGCGACGGAGCAGGGCGTCAGGGAGGCCTGGGTTCAAATCCTGGGTATCAGCTCTCACAGAATTTGTGACCTTGAGCCTCCGTTTATGTAGCTAGGAAGCGGGTTGAAAATAACTGTTTCAGAGGCTGGTTGCAGAGATGGGCATAACATTAATGAATTGCCGGTGAATAGTGACTGGCAGCTGAAGTTAGTTCTTGTCCACCAGAGTGCGCCCCTGAAGTCTGGGCTCATACCAGCTCTGCCACTAGCTGTGTGACCCCGGGCACGTCACTGACCTGGGGTCTCAGCCTCATTTGAAAACAGGCCTGCAGGCTGCCGGGAGGAGGCCGGGAGAATGAGATCTGAGACCCCAGGAAGAGGAGGCTGTGAGCTGGCAGCAACCTTGGGCTGCTGTCTGGGGGAGCCCCACCCCCCCAAGAGGCTTGTCCCAGCTTCTTGCCCACATCCAAGGGTCCCCAGGCCATGGCCATCCTGCGCCTCCCTGCCCTCCCTTCCCCCCACAGTCCTGGGCCTAAGCTTCCCCTAAACCCCCTCCAGGTTCTACCTGGCCTGTGTGGTCCTGGGACTGCAGTTCTTGCACGAGAAGAAGATCATTTACAGGTAACTTGTCCCCGGGAGGGAGGCTGGGGGAGTGGCGAGGGCGCGGATGCCGTCTTTCTCCTGGGCGCCGTTCCAGGGCCCCTTTGCTCTGCCCCCCACCCTCCCAGGGACCTTAAGTTGGATAATCTTCTGCTGGACGCCCAGGGTTTCCTGAAAATCGCAGACTTCGGGCTATGTAAGGAAGGTGGGTGTCTCCCGTCCAGGATCCTGTGTCCTCCAGCCTTGGCACCCAGTCCAGGCCAGCAAGTGGCGTCTCCCGGGAAATCTCCCCACCGCACCCTCAGTCCAGGGACCAAGTGCTTCCTCCCCAACCCTACAAGCTCTGAGGAGCCCTAGCTTCCCTTGGCCCAAGGGCGAGCCTGTGCTCCAGAGCTGGGCGAGGGCACTGGGTTCTGCTTCCTTCGTGGCCTTGGCACCTGAGCTTGGCCGAGCCTCGCTGCCTAGGTCCGATGTCGTAAAATCCATTCCCACCTCCGAGAGTGGGGCAGGGCTTGGCAGTTAGGTTTGGGGGGACATAAGGGTTGGTTGTTGGATCTTACCACAGAGGTTACTGCGGACCAGACACACTGAGCCGGCTTTGATGTGGATGTTGATTTGCAGGGATTGGCTTTGGGGACCGGACCAGCACCTTCTGCGGCACCCCGGAGTTCCTGGCCCCCGAGGTGCTGACCCAGGAGGCCTACACGCGGGCCGTGGACTGGTGGGGGCTGGGCGTGCTGCTGTACGAGATGCTGGTGGGTGAGGTGAGTGCCGAGCCTGGGCGGCCAGGGCCTCGAGGTCGGGGTGGGCTGGGAGTGGCCGTGCACCCCGCTGAGCCCCCCTCCCCGCAGTGCCCATTCCCAGGGGACACCGAGGAGGAGGTGTTTGACTGCATCGTCAATGCGGAGGCCCCGTATCCCCGCTTTCTGTCGGTGCAAGGACTCGAGCTCATTCAGAAGGTAACGAGTGCAGGGTGCAGGGCTGGGCGGCACCACCCGTCCTCGGGGCCCTGGGCCCAGCTCCCTCGGGGGCTTGGGGAGGCGGCAGCCTGGGGCCCAGTGCCCTCGGTGAGCACTGCTCTTGCCCAGCTCCTCCAGAAGTGCCCGGAGAAGCGCCTGGGGGCCGGCGAGCAGGACGCCGAGGAGATCAAGACACAGCCTTTCTTCGGGGTGAGTGGCCGGGCGCAGTGGGAGGTGCGGAGGGACCTCGTGGGCTGCCACTGCCGTCACCTCAGGCACCTCTGCCCTTGTCCCCAGACCACCGACTGGCAGGCTCTGCTGGCCCGCGCTGTGCAGCCCCCCTTTGCACCCACCCTCTGCGGGCCCACAGACCTGCGCTACTTCGAGGGCGAGTTCACGGGGTTGCCGCCTGCCCTGACCCCGCCAGACCCCCGCGGCCCCCTCACTGCCCGCCAGCAGGCCGCCTTCCGGGACTTCGACTTCGTGTCAGAGCGATTCCTGGAGCCCTGAGGGCCTTTCCCGTGTCCCTGTCTCCTGCCCCCCCCCCCCCCCCCCGCCCCCCGACTCTTAGAGCCTCCCTTGCCCACCCGTCTGCCCAGCTACCCGCCCTGCCCTGGAGGCCAGGCCTTGCCTGGTATTTATCAGCCCTTCGGACTCGAGGTGGTGGCTCGGCTCAGTCTCTGGGCCTGGTGCTCCCTCCCTCCTCCTCCCCCGCCCCTCCCGTCTCTCAGCCAGACGTGGACAGAAAGGGTGGCATGGTGAGGAGCAATTTGGTTTGGTTTTTAATACTTGACTTGCTTTATGGATTATTAAATATGCGAAACTGTGCACTAGAGGGATTCTGGCTGGGAGGGTGGAAGGTTCCGGATGCCCCGGGCACTGGGGCCCTAGCCCGGCACAGGTCCTCTTCCTCCCCTCCTTCCTTAGGAGGTCAGTCTGCTCTGAGGCTGGGAGGTGTGGGCAGACGTGAGCAGCCCCAGGCCCTCGGGGTCCGCCCTTCGTTTCAGGCACAAGATGGTGGCTCT